GCTGCTTTGTGGCATTTCTTTGAGTTCCCTGCTTAAAGCTGTCAGCCGTGCCAAGGTGTCTGGTTGCCAGAGAAAATCTTCAACATATGTTCGGCTCAAGGAGGCGCACAACAAAGCTCTGTAACTTTCCATAACCAAGCCGTCATGCAGCCCTGGCAACCTTTTCTCTTGCAATATGTAAATGTGTTCACAGCTCATATCTTTTCAATGCTCTGAATGATTTAGAAGCATTCTTCAGAGCATGAAATCAGATCCATCCTCAGAGTTAAATGATGAGTTATTCAGTACAGGATCTACACCGTGATTCACAGTCCAAGAAAAGAAGTGAGCTGGACCTGCTTTACTCGTCTCTAGAGGTCAGAAATAAACACGGAATCGGGAATGAGAAACCAGTTTTACAAGCTGCAAGCCTATTAGCTCGTTCTGGTTGTAACAATTAGCAACATCCCCCTTTTTAACAGGAAACAACTGGGTTTATTTGAGCTGTGATGTTAAATCTGATGGCTGCCAAACTTTGCCTCTGAGACAATCTCACGCAAGTCTTACAAGAAAAGCACGGCAGTGATTCAACGGGCTTTAGGTTCACTGCTGAGTTTAGTTTCTCAAGCTTGATTCTGTGTTTTTGCACATTTAACGCAGGAAGTCTGCACCTGTGCAACCTGTGAAGTTTAGCAGAGATTTTAGCTGCCTCTTGCTCTGGGTGTCATCTGATGCACGTGCCAATTCGCATCCTGATTTGGTACACAAATCTTCTTTGTTAGGGGTGCAGCGATTGCAGCTTTTTGGTTGATCACTGACTGACATTTAAAAAGCCTGACTTCCCGATTCAGATTTTTTTGTTTAAAAAGTCACCATTGTTGTAACAATTTCACCAAGTTAGCACCGCTGGGGAAACTATTGTTAACGTTGAATGTGCAGATGTGGCCAGGTGGGCGTATCGGACAGTTCTCTCTCGAAGCAGATCAAAACAGGACAGTGGTTGATTTCTAAACCTTTACCAAGGTAGAAAAGATCAGTGTCACACTGAAGTATCGGACGATCGAAAACCTCCCAAAATTATGGAAAACAGGGCCGATTTATCGTGGAACTGTAATTTTTGTCCCTTAATAAAGGAGCCCTTCATGACAGTCATATTTAGTACTTTTTGAAGGATTAATTTTCTCTCATGACCTTCTGGTAATCTGACTCCAGATCTCAAGTCTGCAGCACCAATAGCTGGTAAACCGTGTTGTGATGATGTGCCGTTTACCAAAAATGTCTCCATAAATTTGTCAATCATCATCTGTGGTGTCACCTGTCCAAAGGGCATTATTTCACAAGTCTTGTGATTTTTTTACATGCAAATTTACAAACCTAAGTTCTTTTACACATTTTTATTACTGCCCTGGGCATTAGCATTCAGCATAGTGATGTTTAGTGCTAAGATACATCTTCTGTTTTATTTATCAGGAATTTGTTTTAGCATGGCACATTCTAACCACAAGGTAACGTTGCTATGAGCCCTTTTACTGAGAAAATATGCAAATGTCTTTAATGTTTCAACCAGTCAATCAGGTAGCCATCGGTGTTTCGATTGATTTGTGATTCCTTGTGTCACATTTTTCCTGTTTGCCTTGTGTTAAGACTAACACAAATATGTCACAGGAGCAAAATGCCAAAACTTCTCCCAGGAAATCACCCAGTAATCACTTCATTTGAAGTATTGGTAGCTTCTTATGCACTATTGGGGGCAGTAAGTCTGTTTCTGACACACATTGTTGAATGACAGTGTAATATTTCACATGTTATTATTCTGATTCTGTGATTCATTCATTTTAAAATCCAATATGAATCAACTCATTATCAACATGTTTTGATGCGTGAAATATTGGAACTGATGGAAAGTTTATCTTATTTTTACCAGTACTGTGTAGGTAACAAAAGATCTATGTGAAAAGATAAAAATAATTTCAATCAACAAAAGTGTTTCTCAAGATTTTGGATGCACCACAGTTAGAATAAGGGTCCATTGAATCTGAACATATTAATTATAACCAAACATTTTCTTAAAAAGAATAATGCATCTATATCATAAGTATTCTAATAACAATGCATCCTCAGACATTTTCTTTAATAATGTTCATTTAAAGTGCCTCTCTTCCAATCTTAGGTATAGTTTTAAACATGTAATAAATAAGAGTTATGAGTGGTAAATCTGGAAACGGTGTAATTCGTCTAAAAAAACCAAGAGACCAGATTGCAAATCCACTGGATGTTAATAAAACGGGTACATTTCTTCCACACAACCGTAAGTTAACATATTTCCCATTTCATCGATCACAGATTTTCTTAAATAAAACAGCTATTCTCATTCATTCGCTTTGACCTTAGCAACAGTTACAGCATGGTTACAATAATACCCAGCTCAAAAAGTTCTCCTTTAAACCGTCTGCGGCTTTCTAAATGACAAAACGCACAGTGAAACTATTTAGACCAGTAAAGAAACATTAAACCACATGAAAGGAGAGATATTTACCTGTTTTTAAGGCTGTGTCAGCAAGACAGCGGTCCCATTTTCGCCCGAGCTCGTCTGCCATGTTTCCGGATGTGTCGGAGATCCACGAGAGTATCGCGAGATCGACATGAAGTCACGCGTATTCTCTGAGTTCTATTTGACTTGTTGACTTGATCTTTAAAAAAGATACAGTACGTACAAAAAGGTGACCGTAAGCATGTAAAGAAAGTGGAATGAAAGTCTTATAATTATAATAATAATAATAATAATAATAATAATAATAATAATAATAATAATAATAATAATAATAATAATAATAATAAATATTTTGAATATGTTAGTTGTGCAATCAAAATTAATTGGCTAAAATCCTAAATTAAAACGATACGTTCTGGTTTCATATACAAGCAAATATTTCAATAAATTTGATGACATAATTTATTCTCAGGTGTAATTATGATCTAAAGAAACTCATAAGATTAATCTTATTTCATCAACAGGAGTGGAAGATGATTTACAAACGTAATTTCACTCCCCATAAACACTCAGTTATTCTAAAACTAGAACCGTTCTAAACTGTAGAACTGTGATGTCAAAAATAATAATAATAATAATGAAAAGTTGAAAGTTTATTCATATTGACTGAAAAAGGGCATATGGTCTGTTTTGCCATTTTTTAGATAGTTCTTGGAAAAGAAGAGGAGGAAAAGAAAAGGAAAAGAAAAGAGAAGAAAGGAGAATAAACTGAAAGAAAAGAAGAGAGGCAAAAAGAAAAGGAAAGAAACAAAAGAAAAGAAAGCAAAAGATGGAAAAAAGGAAATAAAAGATAAGCAATGTTTCTAGTTATACCGATATATTCTATGCCTTTTGCTTGATTGCTCCAAGAAAGCACACATGGGAGTTAGATAATTGCTTCTAACACATCATCAACAAAACACAAAAGTTGTTTTGGTTTACAAGCAGGCTTTTAGGGGAATGCATATTTCAGCAGTGTCGTTATGCTGTGATTTTGATAGAAAACACCTGGAATACATTTTAATGGCTGGGTTTGCTTTTTCACCAAATTCTTTGATAAATGACTTTTTTAAGAAGCAACCACTAAGGAGGTGGAATAGAAAATCAAAAACTCCCAACTTTTGCACCTTCTTGGAAAAGATTTATGCCACTTTCCCAAGTATTGATTTCTTTAAACACATCAGTCAGAAAAAAATGTGTTTTAAGTGGTTATATTTTATTTTCACATCAGGTATCTTCATGATAATCGGTCTAAAAAAGATATTTGTTTCGAATATCAAGATGCTTGTTTCCAGTTGTCTTGTTCAGAGATCCAAGATATTGCTTCAGACTTCGCTTTCCGATTTAGATGTTTTACACTAACATGTCAACAATTAAATTAATCTACCCTTTTATAAATTAAATTCTCTCAGTACTAAATAGGTAAAATTATACAGGTCTGTATAACCTCTATGTTCTTTATATGCTAGGTGTTTGTTTTCTTTAAACTAAGCTAAAATGAATTTTGATCATTTTGAAGCCAGCTTTTAACATTTCTGACTATTTTTGGGGGGAGGTAACCCACTAATTTCAACTTTGGAGCTACATGTAGACCTCACTTAGATATCCATCAATGTTAAGTGTATCCCTGGTTTAGACCAGTATATTTTATCTAGATTAGACCATGCAAAACTGCTTTTGATAAGCGTGGACTAAGCTTTTTAGGTTTCTCAATCATCTGCTACTAATTCCAAAACGTCAGAAATAACACTGACATTTTTCCTTTTGTTAAACATAGAGGAAAAATGTCAGCTGGTCTGCATAGATTGTAATTTCCAACCAGAACAACTACACCTTTGTACAGAGACAGTATCTCTGTAATACAGCACCAAAAATAATTTCTCTGAAGTAGATATAAATTACTTTGTGCTCAATGATTATGCTTTACAAACTAGAAGTTACAATTGCAGAGTTGATTTAATTAGAAACAAATAGTAAGAATAGCGAAGAAAGAAGAAAAAAATGTTATTACAGTGGGATTGTGGTGTTTTCATTTAGCAGTAGCCATATTGGATTTTAGGGATGCGGTGGAGAAGAAGCACAACCTCTGATTTCTCAGTAAACAGAGAACAACACTGCTCTAGATGATCTATCACGACTTTAATCAGTTCTGTTTGTTTGTTTCGTTTCCTTGCATGTACAGACCCGTGACATTGCCATTTCAGACTGGTCCAGCAGCTATGCTCATGGCACTTTAGTACTGCACTTGTAGTACTATCAGAACACAGACTTTTTAAAAAGTTTCCTGATTCTGTCAGGTGGAAGGTGTGTATTGAAAAGCATCCTGTCTCCCTTTTTGTTCCCAATGTAAACATACTCCGGGAACTGTTTTGTCATAATTTTATGTAACCGTCTATCTGCCGCCCTCTGCGTCCGCATATTTGTCGCTCAGCGGCTCTCTTTCCATACTTGGCAATGCCTTTCTTGCTCCTTCGCTATTGGTTGCAAGTGAGCAGAGCTCCGAGTGACCCGGAGGTAGAAGCGAGGCCTACTGTTTTCTCACCGCAGCCTCCTTCCTGTAGCCCGGTTGAGGAAGTGAATTTCGCTGACAGGGCTGGGTTCAGTGAGGGAGAGGCGAATAAAACATCTTCCACTGGGGGAACTAAAACAAATAAAACGAAAAGAATAAAAGTCGTGAGGAGCCAGGTGTATAACCACAGCGAAGCTAAGGTGTACAGCCGTTGGTGAAACCGTTCCCGCAGAGACCGTCGCAGACATGGTAAGGGCCGTGCTAACGCTACTGGGAAGCGGTGAAGGGGTGAGAGGCTTCTGGTTGGAGTGCTGAAGCTTTCCGGCCAGCTGGATGTGCTGGCTGGTAACCCGAGAGAACCGGAGAGCATAACTCAAGGAGGCATCTTAACTGTGACCGATAAGGAGCAGTTAGCTTTGTGGCTAATCTAGATTCTGTTTCTTCCTGCTAGTTAGCCATCTGCTAACAGCCAAGCTACATGCCCCGTAGGCATAGAGTTAGCACAGGATGTTTTGGATTTGACACAAGTTTGTTAACGGTAGCGGAGGAGATTCCTAATATAGCTCTCATACAATCCCTCCAGCCTTTAACGCAGACTTAAATAGCCGAGCGTCGGTTTGCCTGCTGCTAAAATAAAACTGCTGGCTCTTCCTTTTCTTAACCATAACTAGCTGGCAGCTCTCTCTGCTAGGTTTCCCTGGCTTAAGAGTTTCGCCGTAATTTTGTTTCTCTGTAGTAATGCCGCTCATTTTAAAACATGTCACCAGTCAATCGACTCTTTTTGTATCTTTTCAAGTGGGCACATTGATGTTCCTTCAATTTTACAAACGATAATATTCAGGGTTAACCAGGAAAGCGTAAAATGACAGCCTAGGTCAGAGCAAGGCGCGATGCTATGAGAGTCTGATTGTATACAAACATTAGGTCAGAATTTAAACCATGATTTTCAAAAAAGCAGGTCTGTAAATATGGTTTTGAATGAATGATAATTCAAACAGACTCTTGATGACAGACATTACCAGCAAAATCTTGTTGTACTACAGCAGCACTGTCTTTTACAATAACAAATCTAACTGTTGGCCTGTTGCAAATAAACAGCATTAGTAATATTAGTTTACATTATTTAAGTTAATACCCTTAAATTGATTAAAAGCCAACACTGAACAATGAATTCTAGACTTTCCCATTAAATATTGTGAGTTATATTTAAAAAAAAGAAACAAGTGGTCTCTTGGATTTATTGAGAATCTGATCAGATTAATCAAAATTCAGTTATACAGTAATTATAAGGATAATCAAGAATTATATTTATCAATGTACCTGATGACATCCAAGCAAATGGAACTTCAAGTAAAGACCAACAAACTAATTACAGACAAATTTTAATGGGACATTTAATTATTTACAGTTTTTCCTTTTGTAAACATGTAAAAACTGCATCAGTCATTCTACTAGAGATTAGAGTTGGTCAGTTTTCCCTGGACTGTTTCACATGAAGGCAATTAAAAGCTTAAACATACGATTTTTTTTTATGTATCCATTAAATGGACTCTCACAATTTTCTGTCTATGCGTACAACTCTGTCAGTGACTTTTACGTTTAGATGTTTTTTCTTTAATACAAATCAAAAAGGTTGTGGACTTAAACACATCTATTAATAGCCTGCAGTACATGTTTTTTCTTTATGTATAAGAAGCTTTGGGGGCAATTAATAAATAATTTAATCTGTTTATCTCATTTTATGACCATTAAGTCATATAAAATGGTCTTAAATTCTACATTTAATTTAATAGAAAATTTTGTTCAGATTTATTTGATGCTATATTTATTGTCTATTTGTTTCAAACTGCACAGAAAGAGAAAGGTGGTCCATCTTGTATTTCCTGATTTAAAAGGTTAGCTGTTCTGTAATTTTTACCCAGCAGTGCTCTGTTTTTCTGTCTGGTCTTTCTAAATAAGACGGTAACTAAAAACTCACTCTTTATCAGAATTCCAGCTAATCCTTTTATTTCCAGCCAGTCACATCGGACTTTAAATAGACCACATTCATCCACAGTACTGTGGTGTGTTCCACATCAGCGATATGTAAAATAAAAGGTTTTCCATATGCGAGTTAACACACTGGCTATTTTTTTATTATTATTTAGTATCATTTAATTCAGTTTGGTTTCCTTTTAAAACCTCAATGAAAGAAGTTGTAAAAAATCAAATCTGCTGTAATCCAGCTTTTTTTTTTTTTTTTGTCCTTCATGTTAAACCCACTTGGTTTACGTAGAAGTAGCACATCTCTTGTACATCCATGCAAACTAAACACTCCTGTGTGTAAGAGGAGAGCGCAGCTGGAGTTTCTCCAGTGTCGCCCTCTCTCCTTGGTCTCACCTCATCCATCCTGCTCCGCCTTGACCTCAGGGGGTTGTCTGCTAGTCTGAGCGGTGTTTACACCAGGAAAGCACTGCTGAGGAATGCAGCTGCTGTCTGAAACAGGCCGTCTCATCAGGTGAAAGAGATTTTGGAGAAGATGGGCAGCAGGTGACCGTAGAGAAGAGGCATTGTGTGGGAACCTGTTGAACTCAGGGTTCGGTTTAAGGAGAGTGTTTATATATTCCACCATGGATTCCTTTCTTGGATTAGATTATAGTGCTGGATTATGTTAGTTTTACAACTTTTACAAGTACAGAAGGTGAAATAAACATGTGTAGTGGTGATTGTTGATTAATGCAAAGTTTCATAAATGGATCCTGTTCCTCACATATAACTATTTCTGTTGCCTCAAGACCAGAGGGACAATTTTGCTCAAGTCGAATTTTATTCCGGTATTAATTTTGACAACAGAGGAAAATGTTTGTCGCACAGAGTGTAAACCTGTAAGTCATGATAAAAAACAAGTTTTGTCTGTCTGCTGTTCCAGTTTGGAGTGCATCCTCCCACACATTCCCCACAGTTTCATGCCCTGGCCGGTCCACTCGGCCCTGCGATCTCATGACCTGCTGCTCGTTGTGTGTTTGGGGAGAGAAAGCTCCCCTGGGGTTAAGTTCAGACCTGCATCTGCTCTGTGCTTTGTAGCAGTCACTAAGGTCTTCATTCAGCTGTAGCTTATTTGCTTGCCCTTTTACATTTCTCATTTCATAAAGCTGCTGCTGCAGCAGATAAAGGCTGTCACTGTAGATACAGAAGCTGCTGATGTACAGAAGGTAAAAAGGTTTAGTCTGGCTGCTTTAAGCTGTGTTATAATTAACTCAGCAAAGCAAATTTAACTGACAAGTTACACATGCATACAAAAGTCACCTCTGATTTCTTTGTATTTTACTGTCAGGCTGCCACAACTTGCTGGTTTTTCCATCTGCAGGTTTTCTCAAGGTCTTCCTTGACCACTTTCTAAAACTAACTTTCAGTCTGGTTTTTTTAATTTAAGCTACTTGACTCTGCTCTCCCAGTCATTCAGGCAAATAAGGTTCTACAATTAAATATTTTTCTTAAAGGCATAACATTCATATAATGTTCATCAAGTTATTTTGACCAGACACCTAAACTATGTGTACTGACATGGTTGGGTACAAGAGCTAGTTAAAAGTTTTAGCAAGAATTATATTCATTTTAAGATTTTTTTTTATGTGTTTTTAATTCTCACATAAAACTAGCTATGTCTCCTCATACAATTAACTTGTTTCATTTGTTTATTTTTGTGCCTTTCTATGCTGGCCCATCAGTTTTTAACCTCTACAAAGCATTTGCTATACAGTTATCAGCATAAAAAGTGCTACAAAATTACAGTTAATGCACAGAAACTGCAGAAATAATCAGTTTTAAGGAAAAAACATTGAAAGACCTTCAGAAAGCCTGGATAAGTGTTGATCAAACCACTTTAAATGATTAGAAGTAATCTGACTGCTGTCAAAGCAAACATGAAGAAATTAGAAGTGGTTTTAATGTTTTGGCTTCCGTTCATCGGATCGATCAACGTTTTTTTTTTTTTTCTTCTTCTTCCTTTCTGTCTATGTATTATTGAGCGTTTGCTGCTTAACCTTCAGTTTTTTACTCTGTCTCTAGTTCAGATTCTATTCCTGCCCACTACATTATCAATATCCAGACACTGTATAGAAGCGGTCCTGTTTAAACACTTTTAGATTCGCCATTTGTCTTCCACATCTGTCAAAGATAAGATGATATACAGTTAAACAAGCACTTTATCGGTGGGATTTTATAACTTCCTGCCTGTCTTATATGTGCCAAACAGTTTAAGTTATCCTATTAGTTGCCTATCTCGGTGGGAAAAATGAGTTAACTTAATAAGCAAAGGAAAGGCGATGAACCTCAGGTTAATATGTGCTTTTAGACATGCAGAGCCTTTTGTTGAAAGTGCTAAACATGTTGTAGCCACACCCTGTCAGTGAGCTCTCAGCAGCTTAATTTACGTTTTGGCTCATGATAAACACTAGGCCAGCAGAGCAGCTAAGGTTTCCACGGCGCACATCGCTCTTTCTCACCTAAACTAACGTCCTCTGGGAAAACACACACAATAAAACAAATCACTCATTAAAAAGTTATTCTTCAAAAGTTAGATATAGCCTTTCATTAAACTATATGTTATCTTCCCAGATGATTTAACCAGTATCTTATCAGCCTTATAAGTTGGCAATCAGCAGTAATAATGCATTTCTCGTCCGTTTGAGATGTGAACTAGTGCTTTTGTGCAAACCTGTTGTACTTTTTGTGAACTTCTTCTTGTGTTTGACCTCAGAACATTTTCCTCTTCCTCTGCTTGTTCATGCCTGAGCAGTGCAGGGGTCCCGGGCCAGGTCTTTGGGGTCCACTGCCCTGTCTGCTTCAGTCTATCAGACTCAGATGATTGCATTGCCTCCTCTGCATCCTGTCAGGTTTTACAGGAGCCTGTTCACTATCTATTCATTTATGTCATGTGGGTGGCAGCAGGGGAATGCCTAAAACATGCAGGACATGCCCTGAGGACCAGGGTAATGAGACGTCTAAAATGCTCCATGCAAACTAAAGAGTGCACAATTCAAAAGTTCCTGGGTGATTTCCCATCTTTTTTTTTTTTTTTTTTTGTAAAACGTTGACCTACACATAGAAAATATGATTAATATAAGAAGATCTTTAACATAAAACATAGACGCATTCAAATTTGGTTTTACTAGCCTTCCTGCTGTGAGCAGTCATTAAATATTTACCTTAAGGATTGAGTCATCCTCGTCTCTCTGTGGGGGAACATTTGCTGTAGAAATATGGAGTTC